CGCATCGCTTTCTGCCCCTTCTGCTCTTCCTGATCACTGTTAGAGCAAGCAATGCGTTATAGAGAGCTCCATCCATCCTGAAAGCAGGAAAGGCTTCGGCAAGTTTCACGATTTGGGTCTCAAAAAGTAACAACAACCAACAGCTCAGAGCGCTTTTCTTCCAATTCCAGGCGAAATGGGATGAACACGACAACCAAACCCGCCTGGCTGAACGAATCAGCAGTGTGAACAGATGGAAGGAGACCCTGGACAAATGCCTTGCAGACATAGATGAGGAAATCAATGCTTTGGCCAAGGTATGTTGGGAAGACAGATGGCTGGAAACGAACCATGCTTTCAACACGGGATGTTAAATAATTGAGGCTTGCCTCGTGCAGTGCGTAGGCCCAGATGGTGCCCGACGGTGGGGGCTGGTCACAGGTATTCTGGGATGGATACCTGATGAAATTACATCCTGATGTTCTCGGCTGAGCTGTGCACTGCCTGCTCCTGTTCTTGCCTCGTTTTTATCTTTCAAGGATAACAAGAAATACATTCAAACCACGATCTGAAAAGGTTTGATTTGAAATGGAGAATGTCAGCAGGGTCAGTCTCTGCTTCTTTCAGTTCTAAACCCGCGGGCTGCTCCGTTTGGAGCCTTGGGCCTCCGGCAGGGTCTGAGCCCTGACCCAACGCACGCGGAGCGCCGCTGTGTTTGGCTCCTGCAGATTTCCTTCCAGATCTGCTGAGAGCTCCAGAACTGCGATGCAGGCGGCGGCCGGTCCTCTTGCCGAGGGTGGGGGTGGGTTTCCTTCTTCCTCCTCTCCCATCTCTGAAGGAGAACCACCCCACAGCCCAGTGCTCCCTGCAGGTGAAGGAAGCAGCAGAACGTGCCCTGCAGGCCAAGAATTTGTCCCTGGATGTGGCCACGGAGTGCCTGACGCTCCGCGACGGCCGCCGCGCCATCGATGTGGTGAGGGACCCTGCGGAGGAGGAGCTGCACAAAGAGATGAAGGTGATCGACAGAACCAAGAGGGAGCTGCAGCAGAGAGTGCACGAAGCCTTCGAACGGCTCTGGTGAGGCAAACAGCACGCTGCTGGTCTCACGGAGATGATGGAGGATGTGATTGAAAGGCTTTGGAGGTGGGGAGCTGCACTCCTCCTTGTGCTCCCTGCGACCCCAGCCTTGTGTTCTGCAGCCTCCTGCAGGAAGCCCGCCAGCAGCTCAGCTTCGACCACCGTGGCAAGATGGAGGCGCTGGAAATAGACCGCACGTGTTTATCCCTCAGCGTGAACTCTCCCAACATCTCCTTCAAGGTCAACCCAACTCGGATCCCAAACGGGTGAGTATAGAGCCTGTGCTTCTGTCCAGATCCGTGCGAGTGCTTTCCAGAGCCCAAGGATGCTTTTCCTTCCCGTGCTGCATCCTGGCTGATGAGTGCAGTTACTGAGAGCTCAGTGCAGGAGCTGGGATTTGCTGTCAGTCCTGGGCTGTGAAGCCACAGACCTGTTGGATATCAGACCTTTCTTAATCCATGTCTGTAGCGAGCTGATGGCTGGCGATGTGTGCTGCTATCAGATCCCAGGATGTCAGGGCACACCGAGCTCATACCACCATCACCATCAAATAAATAACATCTCTGTAGTGCAGAAAATTGGAGTGCAAATGGTGAACAGGCTATCAAAATTGTCACTGCAAAAACAGAAGCTGGCTGCCCTGCCTCCCTACGCTCGGCTGTAGGTGACAGTAAGCAGTATCAGCCCCCAGCAAGGCTTTATGGGAGAGCTGCTGCACATTTTTCACTTGGTGGCCTTTCATAGCGTGCTTTGGATGTGTCCCCAGTTGGAGCAGATGTTGGGCTCAGTGCAGGAGCCGTGGGGCAGCGGCCTCCAGCTGGTGCACTGAGATCAGACAGAATGTGACCTCCAAATTCCTGAAGCATTCTGCACTGCAGAAAGCCTTCGTGGCCTGCAGCAGGTGGTTCCCTTTGAACTGCCTTGCAGACACTCCACTTGTTTTCATAACTGCTGATTTGTTCCTAGATCAACTGCGGTTGGTGAGTGGGAACAGAATAGCCAATACAACAAAGATCATGCTGAGGAGGAAATGAAAGCCTCGACTAAGCTCCGAGAAGCAATAGTGCTTTCCATTGCCCAGGTAAATTAGCCCCTGGGTAGTGAATTACTGGTGCCCTCCTGCTTATAAAGAAGACCTGGGCTGTGCAGAGGGTGCAGCAGACCCAGCAGCCTGGGAGACTCACAGCGATCCATCGCTGCTGTTCCTTTTGGCTGTGGGACCTTCCAGCAGACACAGCCTGGATGGCTTTGCTTGTCCCAGCCTCACGGGGAGCCGTGTCGTATGAGACCATCAGTGTGACCATCACAGCAGCAGCTGCTGGGAGGGAGAGCCCCTCCAGATGTGTGTGCTTGGAATCTGTTCTCTCTTCAGACAAACAACGAGCTGGAGGCTCAGCGTGTGGCCACAGAGTTTGCCCTGCGCAAGAGGATCAGAGACATGGAGAGAGCCTACGATGAGCTGAAATGGCAGGAGCAAAATGTAAATGGGGCTCATCTATCAGCCACAGCCTCGGGTGGGGATTGAATGCAGAAGAGGTCCTGTGCTCCATAGCAGCACTATGCCTGCTCTGCCTGCAAAGCCATGAGCAGGGAGGTTCAGAACCCATCAGCTCCGTTTAAAATGCATTCAGAGCACATAAAAGCCTATAGCAATTAGGGGCTGTTTCCTAGTCTGTCTCCTACAGGGAACTGTGGCTGTCCCTTAGGATACGTGTCTTTTTTACCTTAGACCTTGGAGGAAATTGCTGAGATGGAAGAGGACATCCGACGCCTGGAGGAGGATCTTCGAAGGAAAATGCAGGACCTGAAAGTGGCACACAGCCGCCTGGAGACGCGCAGCTACCGGCCCAACGTGGAGCTCTGCCGGGATCAGGTATCAGCCCTGTCACCAGGGACTGGGGAACCGAACAGGATGGTCCTTGTTTGAGGTGTGGCTGCACTCCGGAGAAAATGCCATGCGGGCCAGCAGGGGGATGCAGATCTGTGGCCTTTGTAAAGCAGGGAGTCGGCCCCATTCACTGCCATGGGCATCTCCATCACATCACAGGTGCAGTACGGGCTCACAGATGAGGTCCACCAGCTGGAAGGATCGATCCGTGCTCTGAAGCTGAAGCTCGCAGAGGCGCAGTGAGTCTTCTCCTCTCTCCTCTCTGCATCAGGGTGGTGGCACAGCACTGCCTGTGTGAGAATCACAGAACTGTAGGGGTTGGAAGGGACCTCCAGAGATCATCGAGTCCAACCCCCCTGCCAAAGCAGGTTCCCTAGGGATGTGGTACCCGGTGCTTCCAGGGGCCGCATTTCAGAACTCGTGTCTGTTCAGAGGAGGAATGGAGATATGGTTGGGTTTGGTGGGAGCTGCTCTGGGCAGTGGGCTGCAGGCAAGGGTCAAGGTGTGTGTGCCGGAGGATGGAGGGGGGTCCCAGCTATTCACAGACCCAAACAATGCTGCTGCGATGCCCCAAGAAATATGATGGCATCATAGAATCACATTGGGTTGGAAGGGACCCCAAGGATCAGCAAGTTCCAACCCCCTGCCACAGGGCTAACAACCTCCAGATCAGGTACTGGACCAGGTTGCCCAGGCCTACCAACCTGCTCTTGAAGACCCCCAGGGATGGGGCAGTGATGGAGCCCATGGGGTGGTGCTGGTGATGGATGTGGTGCTTCAGCTCTTCAAACAAAGGCAAAGGCCACGTGCTTCCCATCCATTTTGGGTGTGAATCCATCTAGCTCCCATCTCCTTGTTCCCAGGGATGCCCTGGATGCTCTGTACCGACAGCTGCACCGCGTGCAGACCGACATGGCCTACAAAGCCCACTCCCTGGTGCTGGACCACAAGTGCATGGACGGCCGCAGGAAGCTCGTGGTGCCCGCTGAGAAGTTTGTACCTCAGGTGGATTCCTTCAACCGCACCACGAACCGCGTGCCATCCCCACCCAGAGCAGGGCAGCTGGAGCTGGGATAAGGCAGGGTGAGCACCTGGGTGCTCCAGGATTGGCCTGACTGCCCTGGTTTGTTGTATAACCGTCTGTTCTGTGTGCTCCAAGGAGCATTCAATAATAAAGAGTGTCTGCCAGAGCGGCTGCGGTGCACTGGAAGCATTTTGTAGCGGCTGAGCCCATCGTGTGCCCTGGGCGGTTCTGCCTCAGCCCTTCCGTGCTGGGAACAGAAGCAGGGCTTGGGATTCCTGCTCTCTGATGGGTCTTCCAGGGGTTCTCAACTCAGATGCACTGATCTGCCCCACTGCGCAGGAACAGCGCAACCAGCAGCGCCTGCGTTAGGAACAGTGCGGCCAGCAGGAGCAGGGAGGCCGTCATCCCCTGTGCTCGGCACTGTGATTCTATGGTTCTATAACACTGGTGAGGCCGCACCTCGAGTATTGTGTTCAGTTTTGGGCTCCTCACTACAAGAGAGACCTGGAACGTGTCCAGAGAAAAGCAATGAAACTGGTGAGGGGTCTGGAGTGCGGATCTGAGGAGGGAGCTGGGGTTGTTCAGTGTGGAGGAGGCTCAGGGGAGGCCTCAGTGCGCTCTGCAGCTTCCTGAAGGGATGCTGTGGTGAGGAGGGGTTTGGCCTCTTCTCCCATGAAACAAGCAGGACCCGAGGAAATGGCTGCAGGTTGTGCTGGGGAGGTTTAGGTTGGACATGAGGAGGAACTGTTTCTCTCAGCAGTCAGGCGCTGCAATGGCTGCACAGGGAGGCGGTGTCACCGTCCCTGGCAGAGTTCGAGAGGCGTCTGGATGAGCAGCTGCGAGTGCCTGTGGCAGCGGGGTGATGGGAGAGCGGTTGGAGCGGGTGATCTCGCAGGTCGTTTCCACCCTTGTGACTCCGCGACTCCGTGATCCTCTGACCCCCATGCGGTTCCATAGCGCTCAGCCCGCAGCGCGCTGCCCTCCGCGCCGCAAGGGGGCGCTGCTTCCGGCCCGGTGGCGGCACGACTCAAGATGGCGGCAGCGGGCGCGGGCTCCGGGCGCGCGGCGGTGTCCCGTCCTCGGCCTCCTCCCGCCCGCTTCCGGGGCTGCTTGGCCGGCGCGCTGCTGGGCGACTGCTTGGGAGCCGTCTTCGAGGGCAGGAGCGTGGTGAAGCTGCCCGATTTGCTGAGCTTTCTCCGCGGCCTGGAGCCGCCGGGCGGTGAAGGGGAGCCAGCCGGGAGCGCCCGCAGAGGTGGGAGGAACGGCGGGCGGGGCGGGATGTGAAACGGTGCGGGGAGCGGGGGGGAAACGTAACGTAATGTAACGTAACGTAAGGTAACGGGTGTGCGGTGCTGCTGCGACATGGAGAAACGGATCTGTAACGGAGAGCGAAGGGGAGCTGTGCCTGAACAGAGGCTGCGATGCCCCGTCCGTCCCTGGAGGTGTTCAAGGTTGATGGGGCCCTGCGCAGCCTGGGCTGCTGTGAGATGCGGAGGTTGGCGGCCCTGCGTGTGGTGGGGGGTTGGAGCTTCATCATCCTTGAGGTCCCTTCCAACCCGGCCATTCTGTGATCTCTCACTTGTCCCCATGTACCTGGAGGAGAACACGTGTCCCTTGGCTTTATTGCCTTGCAGCACTCTGCATCCTGTCCGTGCTGCCGGCACCGCTCCTGCTCTGATCCTGGCTGCTCAATGAACACAGCTCAGGGTGCCGCGTGTCCTCCAGCAGCGCTGCAGCCCTACGGGCAGGCGGTGCTCGCAGGGAGCTGTGAGCTGAATGGTTACATGAAGTTGTAACGCTCTGTTTCAGAAACGCTTTCCTACACGGATGACACGGCCATGAGCAGATCTGTGGTGCAGTCACTGCTGGCCAAGAGGGAGTTCGATGAAGTTGACATGGCCAAGAGGTGAGGGCTGCAGCTGGGGCTTCCAGCGAGAGCAAAACTGGTTGTGTGTCAGACGCTTAAAATGAAGCCATCGTGTAACTCTGCAAAAGGGGACGGAGCTCAGGCAGAGTCATTGCTAATTAGTGGAGAAAACAAGAGCGATGACCCTGGAATTTATTGTGTGCTCTGTCCTGGAGCATCCAGCATCGTTAGCTCTAATGTCAGTTCCAAATATGCTTTGGAATGGAGCGGGGTGGGACTTGCTGTTTTGCCATTCTGTATTGGAGCCACATACATTCAGCCACCTTTGTGGAAGATAACGCCTGGACAAAAAGCATTTCCTTACATGTTTGTTTGTTGCTATTTATGTCTGTACTTAATTTAGCTGGTGAATATTAGTGAGGTCAGCCTCAGTTTGTTTATGATCCATTTCCCTTTTGGATCCACAGCCCTGGTAGCATTTGGTTCCACTTAAGGGAGAGCATTTATTTGTTTAGAAAACACTTCCATTGAACTCGAACAAAAGACTTTCTTTGTGGTTTTGACCCAGGGAAATGTTTCGAGTTTGCTCCTATTTCAAAGAAATGTGGAGAAGGAAACAAGTGGGTTGTGGGAGATGCCTGTACACCATTCATACACCCTCCCCTCTTTTCACACCATTTTTTGGAAGTGACATTCTTTCCCTGCAGAGCTGAATCAGTTGAGCCATGGCTATCACAGAGTGGTCCCTATGCTGTTAACTCACCTGCATTTGGAAACTCCACAAATTCTTTCTCGCCTGTGTAACTGCTGCTGTCTTTGCCCACGCAGGTTTGCTGAGGAGTACAAGAAGGAACCCAACAGGGGCTATGGGATGGCTGTTGTCAATGTCTTTAAGAAGCTGCTGAGCCCCAAGTGCAGTGATGTGTTTGAGCCAGCAAGAGCTCAATTTAATGGGAAAGGCTCCTATGGCAATGGTGGTGCCATGAGGGTTGCAGGCATTCCGCTCACCTATTGGGATGTTCAGGATGTTAAGAAGGTACTGTGCTCCCTGGGGCGCCCTGGCTCTGTGACTGCCTGCTGCTGGCTGGGTCCCGCTCTGCTCTCTCTTGGGTTTGCTAATGATACGTTTTTGTTCACAGTTTGCAAAGCTCAGTGCTGAGTTGACCCACGCCAACTCCTTGGGCTACAACGGGGCCATCCTGCAGGCCCTGGCGGTGCATCTCGCCTTGCAGGGAGAGGTGAGCAGGGAGACCTTCCTTGAGCAGCTCATCAGCCACATGGAGGACGTGGAGGCAGATGATAAGTCTCTTACTGATGCCCGAGCGTAAGTAGCTGTGCGGAGCGCCCACCCCACAGTTCACTGACTCTTCACAGCCTCTCTCCTTCGTTGCACTCTCGTTTCCAGGCTGGGATTTGAGGACTTACCATTTTCGAGGCGTCTGAAGAAAATAAAGGAATTTTTGGAGCTCAGCAGTGTTCCCAAAGCAGATGTATTGTTTGAATTAGGTATGCAATTCTTCGAGTTCCAGCCCAGCGACTCCTTCCCTCTGTTTGTGGGAAGAAAATTGTCTTGCTACCAAAAACTATCTTGAATAATATCTCTTAATATTCTAAGATCTCATCTTAATGTTGGATAGGATTAAGTAAATGTGTCCTGCCAGCCTATTCTGATGTAGCTGGGATGTTCTGTGGGGTGGCAGCAGTACTGGGGGGCTGTGGGGAGTCTCCTCCTAGTTTTGCTCCTTGTGGTGATAAAATCAGTAGCACGGGATTGATGGTGATTGGCAATGGGACGTGGCAGTGAAAAGGGAAGGGGTGCTTCTGTGGGGAAGAGGACAAGAGTGCTGTGCAGCACTGGAGCTGATTGGTTTTGTTAACAGGCAATGGCATCGCTGCTTTGAGGTCTGTCCCCACTGCCATTTACTCCTTCCTGCGCTGTATGGAAGCTGACCCAGATATTCCTGAACACTACAACAACCTGCAGAGGACCATCATCTACTGTATCTCTCTGGGTGGAGATACAGACACCATTGCTACCATGGCAGGAGCCATTGCTGGGGCTTATTATGGGGAAGAACAGATACCCCCAAGTTGGGAGCAGAGCTGCGAAGCTTTTCAAGAGACACAGAAGATGGCAGATAGCTTACATGAACTGTACTGCCAACGGCTCTGAGCCTGAAGGGAGTGTGTGTCCAGAAGGCAAAGCAGGTGGTTGCCTCTGCTTTGCTGGTCATAAAGTTGGTGGTGGATCCGTGCCATGCAGATGCAGCGAGCCTCCATTGAGGAGACACCTGCTGCTGTGAGAAGAGAGGTGGAAGCACCAGCTGGGATTGAAGAGATGGCACATAGCCTTCACTGACAGTTGTGCTGGGAAGTGGCTGCATGTGGTGCCTTGGACAGTGGGAGCATCTCTGAAGTACAAGAGCATCAAGTTTTCATAAGGCTGCTGCTTGCTTTGGCCCACCCTTCTGTAACTGTCATTTTGTTATTCCTAGGTGGTGTCTGAATCCACAAACTTTCTTTTTTTACTATTTTCCTCTACTGCCACATCCTTCATTTCTGTTGGTAGCAACGTGTCAAGCATTGGTTTTCATGGGCTGCACGTCCTTAAAACACTGACAAGTGTGAGCGTTCATTCTCAACTGACAAGCAAGAGGGTCGGGGTGGGAGCCTGCAGAGGAGCAGCCATGGGAGAGCTGGAGGATTTGCTGTGTGTGGGGACAGGTTGCCTCCTTCAGTGCGGAGTGAGGATGCTGCAGAGCAGAGCTCACAGGGAGGTTCACTTCATTAAAGGCAGGATGAAAAGTGCCTGAGATGGGAGGAGGGATTTCTTTGCACTGCCAGTGGCGTTTGAAGAAATGCCTTTGGTGCCTGCACACGGAATCCCAGTAGGCAAACTGTTACTGCTGGAAGAATGGAATCTAGAATGGTTTGGGTTGGAAGGGATCTTTAGATCCTGTAGTTCCAACCCCCTCCTTTAGGCAGGGATCACTAATGATGTCCCTTTGGTGCCCTTTGCTCTGCAATCTGCCTGGCACTGCCCTGACTGACTGCACTTTGTCTTCCCTTAGATAGCTGGCTCACGTTTCTGCAGCTACTCCAGCCATTTCTTAGTTCTAATCCTCACATTCTGTGCTTTTAATTCTGCCCTGTGAATGTCCCGAGGGAGATTGCTATTTAAAAATAAAAATTGTGAAACATGGTGTTAAGCAAGGACTGAATTCTTGGTTCTGCTGCAGTCAGTGACAGAAATGGCTTCAGCTGAAAGCAGGAGTTGCTTCTCATAGCTTTCAAACTCTTATTCTCTGTGAAAAGCATCTGAAAATAAAGGGAAAGGTTAAAAGATGACAAAACACTGGGATTTGAAGCTGGTACTGATGGGTGAGAATATTGCAGTGCAGCTGTGTTGTTCCAGAGTTGAAAATCTTGACACTTTTGCCCAAGGGAGCTGGTCAGAAAGGGAATAACAGCTTGTGCATGGCACGTCTGAAGGGGTTACAAGCTTCTAATAATTAAAACCAAAAGGGAAGAGGCAAGCAGTCGTCATATGGAAGTGCTTGTAAATGTGAACGTGGCAATGTAACCCTGTTATCTCTTGGATTGTGACAGTGGCACGTGAATGTTGTGCACAAATGGAGTTTGCTGCCTTTTGGTCACAGCTCGTGGCTGCTGTGTGTTTTGGACTGCATGCACGTGTTGCAACATCTGGGTGTGTGGGGTCATTCCAGACCTTCCTGCCTCTGCTTCCTTCAAGTGCCAGTCTTGTGTGTGATGCTTTAATGGGTTTTACTTGTTTAAATGAATATCTTGTTCTGAGGTGGTGTGGAATTTTGCTCTTTTGTATATTTATGTATTGTGCTGCAGCTCTGAGGTGTAAAATGTCAGATTTTTCACATTTTCCTGCCAGAGATGTCAACATGTCCACAGGGCTATTTAAAAAAAGACATTTTTCCTGTTAAAGGAGCTGGAGAATTTTAAAGTGTTTGGAACTCACAAAGGACTGAAGTTTCCTGTTTAAAAAATAGAGCCCATTTTAGGCCAGCCGTGAAAGACTGAAACGTTCAGCTCTGCCCCACAGCTGTGCTCTCCTGTCCTGTGCCCACAGCTCTGGGGGGGTGAGGAGGACGAAGGCACAGCCAGCCCCAGCTTTGTACAATAAGTTTTATTGATGGTTTGTCAATACAATCAAGTACTGCAGTTTTAGTTCTGAAGAGAAGGCCAGTTTCTGATCACAAAAAGAGTGCATTTTAAACCAACTTTTACTATGGCAGACAGTGCATGTAGTAAGTATTTACAAAACTAGAAACCTCTATATACTAGGTTAGAAATGGAGATACTAGAGGCGAATTAAAAAAAAAAAAAAATAGTAAGGATTTGTATATAAAAATGCACATTGTAATGCAGTTTTCATCATTAAAAATAGACCTACTTCATCCAACCCAACCTGTTTTCTTGAGTGTGACCGAAACCAGAATCCCACACGCTCACACACCGCACAGCAGCCCTTCCTGCTGGCGGATCTCACACACTCAGTCCTGCAGAACATCTTCCTGGCCTGGTGAGCAGCCCCTCATCCTCTGCTTCGTTCTCGGAGCCCACGTGTGTGCGTGTGTCACAGCTCTGCCTTTCTGCTTCTGCATGCAGCAGCTGATGCAGGTTGGTGACGGTTGATGGCTGTGCGTGTGAAGGGAGAGGTTGCAAAACAATATCTACAGCGCTCAGGGGATCCTGGATTTTTGGTGACAGTGTCTTTTTTTCTTGCCAGAACACGACGTGTGCGGTAAACCAGAACAGCAGAAAGGCTGAATGTAGGTTAGAACACAGTATAAATAAGTCGCTTTGTTGAGGAAGAGGACTTGAGCTTGCAGCTGGGAGCGTGTGGAAGCTGCTGGCCTCCTGCAGGTACTGTGCACATCACTGTGCTGCAGAGCAGCGTGCTGGGATCCCACCTCAGCAGCTCCAGTCTGTGCTGTATCCCCAGGAATCACTGCAGTGGAGGAGACCCAGAGACACAGGCTCTGTCCTTGAGCCCTCCTCCCAGCTTTGAGGAAAGCATTCGAGCTTCCACTTGGACATTTTGGGTATTTTTTTTTGGCTCCTGTTCCTGCTGGGAAATAACCAGCTGTGAGCAGAACCCAGCAGGCCTGGCACCTCCCTGCTTCCAGGACTTACGAGGTCCAGTGGCATCAGAGCTCTGGGGCTGCGTTTCAACTTGAGAAAGTTTCATCACGCCATGACTTGCAGCTCTGCACGGAGCAAAACCACCGTGGGGAGGGACGCCAGCCCCAGCTGCTGCCCCTTCAGCTTTATACCTCCTTCGTGTTTGTTCTATGCAGGGCCGGGGTGCTTTTATGGGGAAGCCCTGCATGGCAAGAGGCAGAAACACGTGACAGGCTTAAGGAAAAGAAAAAGAACACAACCAACCAAAAAAAAAAAAAGAAAAGTTGTTTAAATATTTTGTACAGTCCATCTGAAGAACAGTCCCAAGTCTCATTCTTGCTACATTTTGTTTCTTTGGCCATAGAGAAGGCTTTAGGGAAATGTAAGGCTGCCAGCTGCTCAGCTGGTGACCAAATCGTCGCTGTTTCCTCAGGGACGTTCCCTTGCAGAGGGACACGCAGCGGATTGCCTCCAGCAGCATGCAGCTTCCTGGGATGAGAACTGCTTTTCTCTACGTGCAAGCGGCGATTGCTGCTCTGCCATGAGAAAACCTGCAAAGCAACAGTTTGATTCCTCCCGCCAGCAAGGACAGAGCAGCCACGTGGTCAGCATCCCACGTTCCTTCCCCAAAACCTTGCAGCTCCTGTTCGGGTCGGTGACATCTTCAAGCATTAGAGAACAAAGTGGCAATGACAAATGGGAATGTTTTAGCAGAGGAACGCACCCGGCACGGCGCATTCACAGAACCATATTGCACTACGCTTGTACGTAACTTCGTTAAGTAGGTCATAGCACCGCTGTGTGACGACGGAATGGAAGGTCGGAGTGATGGCTGCTCCTCGGTTGAAAGAAAGAGAAGATGGGAAACACCAGTGTGAAAGCTGACGCGTGGTGAAGGAGTGAGACAGCACAAGCAGGCTGGCACCTGCAGGAAAGCTGAACTCCATCTGCTGGCACAATGCAGCGCCGTTGTGTTGGATGGAGTGACGTGCTGCGAGGCCAAGCCTTTGGGCTGCAGAGAAACGTGCGGGATAGGAGCAGCTCTCAGGCTTGCTGGGTTAACGCGAGAGAGGACCCAAGGGTCCCAGTGTCCCTGCAACAGGCTGTCGTCCTCCCAGAGACCGATGCCTGGATGGTTTCGTTGCTAAATATGCTGGGGAAGGAAGGGCTAAAAAATAATATTTACTTATTCTAAGAAGGTGCTTATGCATAGTGTTCCACGTTCTCTGATTGTAAATCCAACCACACTGGATCCGGAGTGAATCAGACACTGCTTCAAAGCAGCCTGAAGAAACAGGCATCAGGGAGACTGGAACTTGGACATCGGATGGTTTGGGAAGGAAATCCTCAACCCAGCAAGGATCTCTGCTGCTGTATGCGTTTGTGGTAAGTGCTTGGGACCCCGTGCTGGTTAGCAAACACACCGTCCACCACATCGGCTGCGTTTATTTGACTGAACTCAGAATGGGAAACGAGGGCACTAATTGTAGACTGGAGGGGTCCGCTCCAGTCCTCTCTGGATCACGGAGCAACAGGCTGCATTACCAGATCCTTGCCATCCCAAGCGAGTTCTTGTGTTTGACGTGCAGTCACTAGGGGAAAATCTATTCCAAATACACTTTGCTGAGAAAGTTGCTCCCTCCCTCCCTTCCTCCTGCCCCTAAAAAGAAAGGAAGAAAGAAAAACTTCTCCTTTCTGATGACCCTCTCGACTCATGGATCAAACAGCGTGAAGCAATGTCCCGCGACAACGGCTTGCGCGTTCTTCCCAGTGATTTTCTTTTTGTATTCATTAAAAAAAAAAAAAAAAAAATTATTAAAAAAAGAAAAAAACAACCAAAAAAAAAAAAAATGACAGTTTATGGCTAAAGTGTGTGAAAAGGAAATGCGCCCAACAGCCGTTATGTGGGGCAAAGCAGGAACCCAGAGAAGGAGGAGTGGATGTATTCCGTGGAGTACAGCCCGTTGGCCTGGTCGGAGGGCATCTGCACCCAGACCTGGTCGTTCTCCTTCAGTTCAAGCACGGCACTGCCCGACGCCTGGTCCAGGTAGCCCTTTTTGTACTCATCGTAGGTGTAGGTGGCGGGCACGTTGTTCTTATAAAGAGCCACCCAGACGTTGGTCCCTTTGACGTGCACGTGGTAGGCGAAGTAGTAGATGCCGGAGATGGGGCAGGTGAATATCCCTGTGACCGGGTTGTAGCCGTTGTGCCCGTTGTACAAAGTCCGGTCGAACTTGACGGGCATGCCGGACGCCGGGAAGGGGGAGGTGAGGATGGCGGTGAAGGCGGGCGCGATGCGGGCGGAGAGCTCCCCGCGGCCGTACTGCGGCTTGCCCGGCTTGCCGTTGCCCAGCACGGCGCCCTCCACGCCGCCGTCGGGCAGATGCAGCCCCGCGATGCCCGTCTCGTCAAACACCCCCGGTGCTCCCGGTGGCCCAGGAGGCCCGGGGGGGCCGGGCAGCCCATTGAGCCCCGGTGTTCCTGGCATTCCTGGTGGGCCGATGGGGCCGGCCACGCCAGGCTCGCCCATCTTCCCCTCGCCGGGAACACCGGGCAGCCCCGGCTCCCCTTTGAGCCCCGGCAGCCCCTGAAGCCCCATGGGCCCTGCGGGTCCCTGCAAGCCGGGGATGCCGGAGGGGCCCCTCAGCCCCGGCTGCCCCGGGATCCCACCGTCCCCTTTGGGCCCGGGGCCGCCCGTCAACCCTGGCACCCCAGGGAGGCCGATGAACCCCGGCTCTCCTTTGGGGCCCGCTGGGCCGGGGGGGCCCTGTGAGCCGGGCAGACCCCTCTCTCCCGGCACTCCTGGTTTCCCTGCGAAGCCATTCGGGCCCTGGTCACCTCGCATCCCTGGCATTCCCGGCGGCCCGCTGGGCCCCACATCACCCTTAGGGCCTGGCAGCCCGTGCTTGCCCGGCAGCCCCGTGGACCCCGGTGGGCCCGGTGGCCCGATGACGCCAGCAGGGCCCTGCTCACCCGGCTCGCCATCGACTCCGGGTTCCCCTTTATCGCCAATGGCTCCCGGCACCCCGGGCTGCCCACGGTCTCCTTT